TTCATCTATTTGGAAAACATGTCCCACAGGTCATCCAGTAGAATGTCAGGAATGTGACAGGGACAGCTCAGAGACCCACAAGATGTGGCCTGTGCCAACAAGGGTGGTTGGGAGCAGGGCCTGTCTGAGGAAGTGACATTGGAGCTGAGATAAGTTGGGGAGCAGGACCTCCAAGACCCTGAGGGAATGTACTCCCAGGCCCACGACCAAAGCTAAGAAGGAGACACGTGCGGGAGGCAGACCAACCTTGGACAGCGCCGTTAGCTCAGACCCTGCCACTACCCCCTGCTGCCGGCATTGCAGGTGATGGATGAGGCAGACCGACTGTTGGAGCAGGGCTGCACTGACTTCACGGCAGACCTGGAGGTCATCCTGGCAGCCGTGCCTGCCCGTAGGCAGACGCTGCTCTTCAGTGCCACCCTAACCGACACACTCAGGGAGCTGCAGGGCCTGGCCACCAACCAGCCCTTCTTCTGGGAGGCTCAGGCCCCGTGAGTCCATAGCCACAGTCGAGGGGTGGTGGGGGGCGGACAGGAGGAGGTGGTGGAGTTACAGCCAATGGAAGTTATTGCCTATATGTGGGGAAGGACATTGACTGAAATTCAACAGACGGGGGAAACTGAGGCCCACCCCTCCCCAGGGTGCGCACGGTAGAACAGCTAGACCAGCGCTACCTGTTGGTGCCTGAGAAGGTCAAGGACGCCTACTTGGTCCACCTGATCCAGAACTTCCAGGATGAGCATGAGGACTGGTCCATCATCATCTTCACCAACACATGCAAGTGAGCTCAGTGGGGCCGGCTCCCGCAGCCCTTTATGGAGGCCCCAGAGGTGGCCTGAGGTCACAGATGGGAGCACACAGCCAGTCTCAGCACTCCAGGGCCTCTGTTCAGACCAGAGGTTTTGGCAGATGCTCAGTGAGGCTCAGAAAGATCAAGTGATTACCAGGGTCACCTCTTCTGAAGGCAGAGCCAGGATTTGGGGTTTCTTAGATCTGCTCTTAACTGAAGGGCCAGGGGCCCATGGCTGTCGCCAGCCATGGAGCAGCCTATTCGCTGCGGTCTAAGGGTATCACTGAGGCCCAGGGCAGTAGCACCCGCACCTGGCACTGTCTTCCCCATAATCCCAGGGACCTTAGAATCTTCCGAAGCACCTTGGGGGACTGTCAAGAAGCTGTAGACTGTTCTAGTATGAACTAGTAAATAGGTAGTCCATGTTATTTTGAAGGGATCTCCTAATTGGTGCTGCCCTACCAAGAATTAATTGGCTACTCAAAGAAAGAAGTCAGGACGTGGGACTCACTCTTGTTAGGCCAGGAGAGGAGTCAGCAGAGAGGATATCAGTGCACCTTTGCTTGCCCTTTCCCATCTGTGCAGGGCCACCTGCTTGGGGTCTGAGACATGGGGTAGGGGCAGGAGCACTTTTCCAGCACCTCAGCTTTGGAGGGGCTGACAATGTGTCTTTCCCACCAGGACCTGCCAAGTCCTGTGCATGATGCTACGCAAGTTCAACTTTCCCACAGTGGCTCTGCATTCTATGATGAAACAGGTAAGGAGACCCACCCCCGCCCACCAGCCTTGCGTGAGACTGCTCTCAACCCCACAGCCTTTGCCTAGGCTCTTCCCTCTGCCTGGAACACTCTTCCTGCCACCCCTGTCTGTCCCAGCTTGGCTTTTTCACAGTCACCTCCCTCACTGGACTGTGAGCCCTATGAGGGTAGGACATCCTGGCGTCCAGCCTATCCCCAGGCCTTGTATAGTAAGTGCTCATTTACCAAGGTGCTGCCTGACACCCAGCTCCATCCCCCCAATTCTCTCCTTCATCTGGCACAGAAAGAACGCTTTGCTGCCCTGGCCAAGTTCAAGTCCAGCATCTATCGGATCCTAATCGCAACAGACGTGGCTTCCCGGTGAGCAGCCCAGGGTACTGCCTCCCATGTGCTGGCTCAGTGATGACCCCACAGAAGGGCCAGAGGGGAAGACTGGCCTCAGGCAAGGGTTGGGCAACCCCAGCTTCACTGCTAAGTGGCCTTGGTGAGTCCTTGCCTTGGTTTCACCATGTGGGCGGTGGTGCTGACTGCCCTCTGCCTCCAGGGGCCTGGACATTCCCACAGTGCAGGTGGTCATTAATCACAACACCCCTGGGCTCCCCAAGATCTACATCCACCGAGTCGGCCGGACAGCCCGTGCAGGTGAGCAGATGGGGCAGGGTGGCCTTTGGGGACCCACCCCTCCAGTCTGCACACACTGACGAGCCAGAGTCATGAGCTGGTGGGACATGGCAGGGATACAGCCCACAGCGGGTGAGAGACGTTAGAGGCAGTGTTTGCAGGTTGGGGAGTTCTTTAAAAAGCAAAGGCGGGAGCATTTTGGCTCCTGCATGTGACCCACACACTGTCTCCTTGGGACATGGCACGCTGCCCCAGTCCTCACCACTCCCTGTTGCTCACTCCAGTCCTCTTCACTTGTCAGGGCTGCCAGTCAGGACTTTGCAGGGAGGGGGTCCATGAGCCTTGGTGGGTGTGATGTTGCCCTATGGGATGTGGTGTCCGAGTTTAGCCTTTCACTGTGACCCTAGCCAGGGGCCGAGGAGGCATCTGTCTCTGCTCGCAGCCCTGCTGGGGGGTGGGCGGGGGGTGCTGCATTTGTGAGATTTTTCTCAAGCCTGGAGTGGGGAGAGATTGGCCTCTGGGGCTGTGCTGGGCCTGTTCTTGCTGTCCTATAGCCTCAGGCAGGTCACATCTGCACCCTGGGCCTTACTGCTCCAAGGGTCATGGCCCTTGTCAGCTGCCAGTGCTCGTGCGGCACTAGTCACTGTCACAGAAACAGAGAACTGAAGAACTCACCTGCAGAAACCCAGGCTGAGGCCTGCCAGGGCTTATTGCTGACTTAACTCCCTGGGCTCCCTGGCAGCCCTGCCGAAAAGGAAGGTCAGCCACGTCACCCACTTCCATGTAGGGCCATGCTGGCAGGAGAGCCACCTCTCCCTGGTGTCCTGCAGCTCCCCTGGGACAGACCCTCCCGCTGCACAAGTCTGGCTGAGGGTCAAGCCCTGACGTCCTGGGTTTCCTTCACCTGCTACACCTACCCACCAAGGTCCGTTCCCGGCAGCTGAGAGGCATCCTGACCTGCCTCTGTTGAGCCCTCATCCTGGCCCCTGGCACACAGCAGGTAACTGTGGTGTGTCTTCACAGGGCGTCAGGGACAGGCTATTACACTGGTAACACAGTATGACATCCACCTGGTACATGCCATCGAGGAGCAGATCAGTGAGTAAGGGGCCGGGCTGGGATGCCCACCTGCTTTCGCACGTGAGCAGCACTTTCCTTCCTATGCAACCCCCAGAGAAGGTGCATTTGCCCAATTGTGTTTTAAATTTTATTGATTGGTAGAGAGAGGGAGAAACACTGGTTTGTTGTTCCCCTTATTTTTGCCTTCATCAAACCCACAACTTTTGTGAATTGGGACAGCACTATAATCAGCTGAGCTACGTACCCAGCCAGCACCTCTCTTGCCCAATTATGGAATCAGAAGATCCCCATAATGGGCCCAGCAGCTGAAAGCCGCATCTGGTGGGCAGGACCTTTGGTTCCTGAGACCATGCGGTGTGGATGGGTCAGAGCCCTAGGGATGGGTCCTGAGTGTTTAAAATCTCCCTTGGGTGGTTTAATGTGTAGCCAAGACCAAGAACTACTAAGGCGTCTCCAGTCACCGCATTAACTGTCCTAAAATTCAGAAACACCTTGACTTTAAAGGATACTGTTAAAAAAATTTACTCCTAATCCAGTGTTGGTAACCACACACAGAAAAAAAAAATATTAAAAGAGCTGTCTGTAGGTTGGAAGTCCCAGATTCTGGGGGACTTATCTGATAGAACCCCAGAAGGCATGCATGCTCCACCGCACTGGGAACTCACTATGTGGCTGACACCCCTTTCCCTGTCATGTTTGTCTTCCCCTTCCCATGGCTCCCTCTCTCCCCACAGAGAAGAAGCTGGAGGAGTTTGTGGTGGAGGAGGCTGAGGTGCTGCAGATTCTCACGCAGGTCAATGTGGTCCGGAGGGAATGCGAGATTGTGAGTGTTGGGCAGCTGAGCCTCAGGACCCAGGGTCCTCTCTTCTAAATGGGTCTCTCCCCCGGCCTCCCCCCCCTGAATGGGCTCTCCCTCTCTCCCCACCCCAGAAACTCGAGGCAGCCAACTTTGATGAAAAGAAGGAAATTAACAAGCGGAAGCAGTTGATCCTGGAAGGAAAGGTGAGGGCTGAGCCAGCAGGTAGGGGGCAGGGTTCCTGAAGTAGCAGATGACCTGCTCAGTCACCTCTCCATCCTTCCCGAGACAGGACCCTGACCTGGAGGCCAAGCGCAAGGCTGAGCTGGCCAAGATCAAGCAGAAGAACCGGCGCTTCAAGGAGCAGGTGGAGCACGTGCTGCAGCGGCAGAAGGCTCGTGGGGCTGGCCGCAAGAGGCGCCTAACCAGGGCCCAGCCGGAGGCCGGCTCGGCCCCAGCACCCACGCAGGGCCCAGCCTGAGGCTGGCTTGCCCCCCACCTGCCCAGCCTGAGACTCCCTCATCGAGCTGTGGGTTGGAGAGAGTGGAGGCTCTTCTGTTGACAGCCCCCCTGCCTACCTCCCCCCTGCAGTGAGGCCATGGACACCCACATTGTGCAGTATGTGGCTCTTCTACCCTGTGGCCCTGACTGGCTCCTTCTCAAAGCCGTGGCCAAAAGTCACGCAGTAAAGGAAAGAACTCTAGCTATTGGGCCTATATCCACACAGTGACCCCAGTCCAGGGTCACCGCAGAGGGTACCATGGGACCCAAAAGTGAAGGTGTATCATTTCCAGGAGGCACTCAATAAATGAGTCTTTCAACTTACCCAGTCTGACTCTCAAGGAGCAGGGCCAGGGGAGGAGGGTACAGCCTCTTGAACTTTTTAAGCCCCCCAGTACCTCATGTTGCTCTAGACACCCACAGTTTTCCTTTCCTGCTGGGCCAAGCCCAGAGCTTTGAACTGCAGTGCTGGCTGTTCCAGCTGGTTGGCCCTGGGTTGGTAGAGCCCCTTGGGGGGGTCTCGGTTTCCTCATTTGGGAAATGGACACAGCAACTGCACCTCTCCAGATGTGGCCATGAGGTGGGTGAGAATGTCATCCGCTTCCCTGGTGAACGTGGCTGGGGTCCGGGAGCTGCTCTGCCCGTCTAGTTCATCAATTTTGGGGTCCCTAGCCAGAGTAAAAGGGGGCTTACCAGGGGCCACCTAAGTCCAAACTGATAACTAGATAACATGGGCTGAGCCCCAAGGGCTGGGGGCAGCAGGACCAGGTGGAGCTATGTGGGCATCCCCTTGGGCTATGAGCTGCATCATCCTCGCCTGCAAGTGGCTTTCCAGCCCTACACGGACAGGGGGCAGCTAAGGTGTACCCAAGAGGACACAGGAGAGTGTCCAGTGATGGAATTTAGGTGCTCACACATTACACACACACATAACCATGCTTAGAAATGTAATCTGGGCACTAGCATGTGCCCTGGGGATTCTAGAAATCCTATACAATGAAAAGCCCCAAACAGCCCCTGAGCTGTGAGTGGCCAGGCCCTCCTTGGGGCTGAGTCGCCCCAGTCCTTGCCAGGGCACGAAGCCTGCTGGACCGCCTGCGGCCAGCCCATGCCCCAGCCAAAAGCATTTGTATAAAACCTGCTCCCATAGCCCTCAGCTCCTACGAGGACTGGCTGCTGAGCCGGGCTCAGGGCGTACCCTCAGCCAAGCGGGCTAGGCCTTCCCGAAGCTCGCTCAGCTCAAACAGCCTGACATCCAGAAGCTGTGCGGCCCGGCCCAGCTCAGCCCTTGTCCGCTCCCGGTCAGCCCGAGCTTCGTCAAGGCTGCGCTCTGTCATCCGCAGCTGGTGTTCCAACTCCACATTACGGGTTTCCAGGTCCTGCAAGGAGAAGGCAGGCAGGGTTGAGGGCCCCCAAGAGTGTCCAGGATCAACAGCTCCGCCTGGGGTATCTAGCATGAGTGCCATCCCCAGAGACCCCAATGGGCCAAGCTCCCTCCATCTCCTGGTCTCCCTGCCACCTGTGCTAAAGATACTCCTTGGTCCCCCTGCCAATTTGAACATCACAGAATTGATCACATCCCTCTTCTGAAAGCCCTCCTGTGACCCATCAGGCTGGGGATGAAATCCACACTATCCCCCTCCTCATTTCAATTCGGCCTCACTGGTCTTGTGGTTCCTTGAACACGCTAATGTCCCAACCATCTCAGGGCCTTTGCACGTAATACACACTGCCCAGGAGACAATAGTGAGCATTTCTACAGTTTCTCCCCAGGACAATTTTGGGGGCACCAGATCCTTTAATACCTCCACCTGCAGACTCACAGGACATGCCCCCCATGAATGTTCCTCGGATAAAGCTTTTAGTGAGAGCCAGGCCAACCAGACCTGGGCTCACATGCAACCTCCTGAACTTAGGCTGGGGATGTGTGAGGACTTGGCAGGGGTCAAGAATGGGAGCTCAGTGGGAACTCAAAAACTGCATGTCGAATAAATGGATGAATATAAAACACTACTACTAACAGCCACCTCGGACCTTTCATGCACCTGGTCTTCCCGATGCTTCATAACTTGAGATAGATGTCGTCCTGACCAGTTTACAGGTAGAGAAACAGGCTCAGGGGGACGCTCCAGGAAGGGAAGATACCAAGTCTGTCCCACACCAGGGGCTGGCTGCCCAGGTGCAGTCACCCCACGCCCTGCCACCACACACCTGCACCTTCTGCTGTGTCTCCTCACGCTCCACTGTGTCAGGGGCTTCTCGGGGCCCACCAGCCTGGCTCTTCAGGGTCTGGATCTCCTAGTGGAGAAGAGTTCCCAGGGTGCTCTGGGGGTCCTGGCTCCTCCATGGGAGGTCAGGGACGGTGAGGCCTGGGGACACACATGCACACACATACTCTCACAAGCTCAGTGCTCACCTGGTCCTTGGTTTGCACTAGGGACTCCAGCTGCTCCAGCACCTCGCCTGGCCCCTCCTTCTCACTGACTGGGGTTGGTTCTGCGGCTATCTGGGTCTCCAGCTCAGCCACCTGCGTGGAAAGGTCAGCACCTTCCTGAGAACCTGCCTTCTGCTCAATCCCGCCCATGACTAGGCATTCATCCCCGCTGCTTGGAGCTACCACCCCGCCCCTGGCAGGGAAGACTTTAGGGTCTGATACCCCTTTGAGGTGGGCGCTTTATCAGACCCATTTTACAGGGCACAAAACCAAGGCTCAGGGAAGTGATCTGTAGAGATCACACAGACAGTCAGTGAACCCAGGACAGACAGGACGTGTGCAGGAAGGGGCTCCAGAGTTGCCAGGGCCATGGGGTCTAGAAGAGGGATGAGAGCCTCTCACCCGCTGCCGCAGCCGCTCGGCCTCTGCACGCTGGGCCTCCAGCTGCTGCCTCCATTGCGCGGCGGCTGCGTTGGCCTCTCGCAAGGCGCCCGCCAACTTGTTGTTGCTGTCCTGCAGCGCGAAGAACTCGGCCTCCCATTGTACCTCGCCCACGGAGCTGCGGGGACGCAGGGGTCACCACGCTGTCCAGCTAGGCTGGCCGGCGTTAGGCGAGGGGGCGGGGCTGCCCCGGGCCGGGGGCGGGGCTAGTAGGCCCTACTGGGTAACGGGCAAGGCCGCACCGGACTCGGCGGGCTGCGAGCAGTACCACAATGGGCCGGGGCGGGGTAAGAGGCGGAACGGTGGGTGGGGACGGAGCCGGGGCTCGAACGTCCCGGGAAGGCGGGTGTTGCCGGAGACGTGGCTAGGGCTGGGCGACGGATCCTTGTCGAGGGCGGGGTCAGAGTAGGCGCCTGGTGTTTGCTCGGTGCGACAATGGGAATGCGGCGCGGACCCGGGGTCAGCCCACAGGGACCTAGCCAGAACAGGGTGGCGTTGGGAGGCACCTGCGGGTTCAGAACTACTCGGGAGAGGTGTGAACGGGGAGGGGCGGATCCTCCCCTGGAAGGCGTGGCCAAAGCCCGAGCGCGTGGAAGGGCGCGGTCGGCTCCAGAGGGGGCAGGATTGCGGTCAGCCACCTCCCCGGTCCCCAGGCTTTGGGGCGGCGGCCAGATCCACCGCCGGTCGCGCTCCAGCGGCTTCTGAGAAGCTCCTCCGGCAGCCCTTTCCGCCGCGGCCCTGTGCCCCGCCCTACCCCTCACCCCTCTGACAGCATCTTCTTGAGCCGCTCCCGTTCTGCGGGGCCAGGGGCTTCGGCGCTTTGACTGCGGAACAGTTTCTCGTCGCTGGGGGGGCCATTGGCGCTGACGAGGGGGGTCGGGGGCACCTAAGGGTGTGGGCAGAAGCGGGTCACCGGGAGTGGGCTTCAGTCAAAGACCGGTTAGAAGATCATGGTTAGGGACAGGGCTGATGTCGCTGGGGTCTTGACCGCAGGCAGGCCTCCCTCCCGGCACTGGGATCCGAGCGCGCCTTGCCCTCACCCAACCTCCATGGTTCCCCAAGGTCCCTAGAGCGGAATTCCGGACCCTGGCCCCCAACCTCGCCTGCCTGGGTTCTCATCGATTTCCCCGGAGCTAACCTGATTGCAGGCCAGTTTAAACCCGCTGAGATACTTGAAATCTGTCTGCAGCGCTGGCGGGGGTGGGGGCAATCTGAAACCCTAGGAACAGTCCCCCTCTGGGGCCGAATTGCAACATTCATTTTAGATCCTGACAGGAAGCCCTCTCCACCAGGCTGAACTACACGAATCCACCTCGTAGGTCCCTGAGGGCAGGGCCCAGCCTCCTTTTTCATCTCTGTAACCCCAGCCCAGCCCTGGGCCAGGCACACGGTAGGTAGTTCATTAATTATGCTGAATAAATGAACGGGGGGGGGGGCCGGGGAGACTGCCCAGAAACAGTTCTTTACTCTGCACCCCGCCCCCCCGCCCCCCCCCCCCCGCCCTTAGCTATCTCAACTTCCACGGTTTGACTTGGTCATCTGAGCTGGCCAAAGCTGGGCCAGATCCCCCCGGACATGCTCCATGGCACCCACATTCCTCTTCCGTGGCCCCTGCCACAATCTGTGAGCATTTGGTTGTGGGCAGCAGCACAACACAATGCAGGGACACAACCCGCCTCCCCCTCCCCCCGCAACACTGCCAGGCAGGCACCGGACAGGGAGTGCTGACCTGGTGGGTGGAGAGCCCCAGGGCTGGGCTGGTGAGCTCCCCCCCATCCTGAGATTTCTCCCTCGCCAGTCTCGCTGCTTCCTTCACTTCCTGGAACTTCTCAGCAAACTGAGGAGGGGTGACAGGAACAGACAATCAACAAATCCCTGGCCTCCTCCCCTGGGGCCCCACCAGGTTACCCCCAGCCAGCATCGTCTTTGTCACTTATGAAGGGACTTTAGGAATTCCATGCATCTACTCATCTCACGAACTGGGAGTGGGAAGGCTTGGAAAATGATGCCTCAGTGAGAAGAATGGGTTTGAGGGCGGGGGTGGAGGCCCAGGGAGGAGGCGTGCACTGAGCCACCCCGAGAAGAGGATCCCCTTTCCTTCTCAATCAGGCTTATTTCAGCAAGGAGAGCCTCCGGTGGGTGCTAACCTATCTTTACTGTCTGGGATAAGTGTAAATATCCTTTGTTGTATGACAAAGAGAGAGCAGGATCTTGGGATCTGTGTCCTAGCCAGTGAGAAAGTTATTGTCCTGTTTTCATTTTAGTTGTATTAATGTTTACATTTCCTATTAGGGCAGGCTACACTCCTTTTTTTTTCACTTTAAAATAAATTTACTTAGTTTGAAAATAATTTTTAAAGGAAATATTTACACATATACAGCCACTTGATTTGTGCAAAGGGGCCAGGGCAATTTACTGGGGGCAACTGGTTTTTCAAAAATGGTCCAACATCCACTGGATACTCATGTGGGAATAAAAGACTCCTACCTTACACTACCCACCGAAATAAATCCAAGATCTAAATACGTAAGGAAAACGGAGGCTATTAGAAGAGAAGAAGTTGTCATGCCCTCAGCAGGGCTCAGAGTCCTCAGGAGGACTCAGAGAGCACTAACCAACCCTCCAGGAAAAGAGTGTTTAGAACAGTTGTCTAGAGACAGCAGAGGGTGGAAGGAAGTGATGATGTAGCGCTACCAGGTGTGGGAAAACACCCAGCCCATCCCAGGAACCCAGCGAAGGGCAGGGTGTGTTGAAATTGGAGCAGGTGGCCTGCAGAGCTGGGATGTGAGCCAGGGGATGAACTGGGAAAGGGCTTCCCAATTCTGCAGCTGGGAAGGTGGAGGCCCAGCACCTGCCCAGGGTCCCCAGTGTACTCAAGAGAAAGGCCCAGGTGCAGTCTTGTTGCTACCACCATGTACCCCTGAGACCCACCTGGGTCAGATGCTGTTCAGAAGCAAAGCCAAGGCCGTAAACAGTGTTGGCGCGACTGTCTGCCCACTGTCCAAACTTCTGGGAGGTTTTGGTGAAGGTCATGTTGGGGGTGACAGTGCTATTGATAATGGCCTGGGAAGAAAGAGCAAAGTTCAAGACTTATGGGACTGCTAACAATAAACATAAGACCACTTGGGTATCCCTTTGTATTAGTGCCTCCGAGGTCCTTGGTCTGAGCCCTTTCAGGAGGAAGAGAGACTGAGGCCCAGAAAGGATCAGGGCATGACCAACCCTGGGCACACACAGCAAGGCAAGAATCAGACCCAGGCCTATCGCTGAAAGCCCTGTCACCTGCCACCCCAACCAGTCCCCGCCAGGACCTTGGCGCCTCCAATGCTGATGATTCGGTAGACATTGCGGGTGGCATCATAGAAGTAGGAGACGGTGAGTGCATGTTTGCCCGCAGGGATCCAGTTCCGCTTGGTGGCTGGGTCGATCTGGAACACATGCGCCCGTGTGCTGAAGATGGGCTGCTCCCTGCATGGGAAGAGGGCGCTCAGCGGGGAGGCAGGCACCCCTCGTGAGGCTCAGGGCCAAGCCGCTGCAGGCAGGGGCTCACCTGGCTGTGGACATTGGTCAGGCTGGGCTGGGTGGGCTCCAAGGGGCAGCCTGAGGGGTGGCACGAGCTGCTGGTTCGGTCTCTGGGGTAGAGGGGGCTTGTGAGTGTCCGCCCAGGACAAGCTGAGAGAGGTCAAGCAGGTCCAACCTCAGGACCTGACACAGCATTCACAGATGGACCATACACAGAATTTCAAACAAAAAGGTAGGGGAATCAGTAGATCACTCAGAGCAAGGAGACCCCGACTATCTCTACCTGGAGAAGTCCCCACAACACCTTGGGCAGGAGACGGCTCTCTGAAAGGAGCCAGGTGGCTGCTGACGTCTCAGCATAAAACCATCATTGTCTGGGTTCGTGGATCCCCAGGGAAGCCCCCTCAGTCTCAGGGTGGGCTGAAGAGGCCAACATCAGGTCCCGCTCAACACTTGGCCACACATTCACCCATCACTCCTCAAACCAGGGCCTCTAGCAAAAACTGTGGCATCAAAAGGCAACTACTGGCAGACCAGCTCCCACTGGCCTCACAGAGGGACCTCTCCATTTTCACTCTAGCGCTCACGCACAGACTTAGTGTCAAAGTCCAATTAGGGAGCCCCCATCCTTGTCAAAAAGATAAGATGTAGCCAAACAGGACCACGCTGGTGCCCACCACCAGATCGCCCATCACCACTCACTCCCAGTAGCATGGGGAGCTGGGTGGAACCCAGGGCTGGGAGGTGGGCTCTTTAGCCTCCGTTGGTTCCTCTAACCACCACCCACAGGAGCCAGGAACAGCTGCCCGGGAAGACTTCCTGACCCTCCCCCTGCGCTCTCAAACTTGCATCCAGGATCTGCAGGGCACTCAGGAGGGACCTGGGGGAGGGGGAGTCAAGCTGGGGGAAGAGACACCCAGGCTTAGTGGTCTTCGTGGTGGGGGTGACGCCCCCTTCCACACACACTCCCTCCGCCCCCAGTCATGGGCAGCTGCTGTCCTGGTCACAGGATCTGAAACCGGAGCCTCTGGTGGGGGAGGGGCGGCAGCTCCGGCCGAGTTTGGAGGCGAGTCCTGGGACTCCGGGGCTCAGGGGTCCCAGGAACTCTGGCCCTTCCGGCCGGGACGCTCCTGCCGCGACTTGCGCGTTTGGGGAAAGTTACTCACCAACCAGTCACGCGCCTCGGGCGCTGCCGGCCGCGAGGCTCCGGAGGGGGCCCGACCCCGCCCGGTGCCCGGGATCCTTAATCGCTTGTGCGGGCGAAGCCCCACCCCAAGCGCCCCAGTCCGGGATCCTGATATTCAGTCAGGCTCGAGTCCCCACATGCGTCAGCAGTAGGGGACCCAGTGCGTGACTCAATTTCGGGATGTGTGGTCCCCAACAATGGAACTTCCAAGATCTCCGTGATCCCTGACTCTGGGTCAAGAACTTCGGGGACATATTATCTGCCTCCTCAAGCCCAGGTCCATAACTTCGGGCATCCTCTGCGCCGCCCCAATTCCTGAGTTTTGGGGACCCCATGCCACCCTTCCATCCCGAGTTCCGGAATTTCGGGATCCCCTCGCGCTGGCCCCTTACCCCCAGGTCTGGAACTTCCAAGGCACCTTCGCAGCCTCCTGCGACGCTGGGCGTGGAACTTTGGAAACCCTTCGCACTGTCCCCTCCCCGACCTGAGCTCCGGAACTTCGAGGCCCCTGAGCCCCGGCAAGACCTGGTACTTCGGAACTTCCCGGGCCGCTCCCCGCCCCTGCGTCCAGAACTTCGGGACCCCTGAGCCCTCCCCCGGCCTCCGAACTTCGGGGCCCCCGCGCCCGCGCTCAGGCTCGGTCGGCCGGGCTCACCCTGTTGGCCGGGCGCCCCGTGAGTGTCCCAGCGGAGTCGGGTGCGGCCCACGGCGCCGACTCCCCGCGCCCTCCTCGCCGTCCGCGCCGCCCGCGCCTTTGTCTGCGCTGCCGCTGCCGACCGCGCCGCCTCCGGTCCCATCGCAGCCGGTCCCGGCGAGGCCGCCGCCCGCTCCGCCTCCTCGCCTCCCCGCCTCCCCGCCTCCCCGAGGCCGGCCGCAGCGCCCCCTGCGGGCCCTCCGCGGAGGGGTAGTGGGGAGGGCGTTGGGGAGCCCGAAGGAGTAGGAAATGGCCTGGGGGGTGGGGTAAGGGTGGGGAAGGGACGGGGGTGAGCGTGGAACACTGATCCAAACCCAGAGACAGACGGGGGAGAGAGGCAGAGACACAGGAGTGGGGCAGACAGAGAACTGAGAGGCAGAGACAAAGGAGACGACAGGCAGAAAACTGTAACTATGTAATAAGACAACTGTGACAATGCCAACGATGGTTGTGTTACAGGGTCCCAGAATCCAGGGTGCAGGGAATGAATGTTGGGGTCCAGTTCCCACCAAGCAGGTGAGTCCCCTGGAGACCCACAGCCTGGACTGCACCTCTGGTCAGAGGAAGCCCACTCCTTCATTCACTTGCCAGGAGCAGGTCCTTCTGGGGCTGAGCTGTAGTCCCCTCCCCAGGTCCTGGCTGGCTGCCCCAAGTCACACAATGCGATCGAGTCGTGGGCAGAGGCGCCGAGGCTCCTCAGACCCAAGGCCCACAGGTCCCTGAAGCTGTGAGCCTAACAGCTGAGCTTTCTGACAACCTTCTTCGCCACATCTCCTTTTCCCCTTCTTTCATTTCTATTCCCTGACAAGAATCACGCATCTGAGCTGATAGCTACCTTCAAATTCCCTTTAGGTGAATTCTGGAGACTTACTCCCAGGCCAGGATCTGAGTTCACTCCCTCCAGGACTTTGCCCAAGCTGTCCCCTCCGCCAGGAAGGCCCTTCCTGCAGGCATGCGTTCTGCCTTGTCCTTCCAGGCTCTGCTCCACTGCCGCCCTTCTAGAAGCTGGTCTGACCACCCTGGGCTTGGAAGGGGTCTCACCCTACCTTGCCCCATGCCCCCATCCCTTTCTGTGAGATCTCTGATGTGTTACCAGTTTATTAGTTCAACTGTGGCCAGATCTGGGGTCCCCTGGAGGCCCGGCCCATTCTGGACCCCCAACCTTACTGGGAAAATGGAAGCGCAGACTCAGTTTCCCAGGCTGTTTCTAACTTCACAAGGCATCTGCACAGCAAAAGATTTGGCTTTGCTCTCAGGCCCGAAGCCACAAAATGCTTGAACACTATGTGGAACAAAGGGAATACCGTCTGTTCTGTGCAAAGAATGACTTTTTCTTATTACCAAAAAAAATAATTAAAAAGAAAAAGTAACTGGAAAGGTGCCAGGAGGGCCGAGGCTTCTGGAAGCCACTCAGCGTGTGCCGAAAGCAGGACGGCTACAGCTCTGTAGTCAGGGCCACGTGGCCATTCTGTGGGGAGGGTCGGGCAAGGGGCCCAGGCCAAATTTCCTCCTTGTGTGGACAGAAGACAAGCGCGTGAGAGAGGGGGGGAGCAGAAGCCTTTCCTGGGTCCCTCTCATGCTCCAGGGAGGCCTGGGCTGGTGCTGTCCTTGAGCAGCCCTGACCTGATAGTGTCTTAGTCAAGTCCAAACAGAGGAAGTGGCTCTACTAGTTTGGACTTTAGTTTTCTCATCTGGAGAATGGGCTGATGCTCACAGGGCTGAGGTCGGGGAGGAGGCAGGGAGAATCCAGGTGACGCCAGTAGCTCCTCACTGTCCCCTGGATATAGACAGGTAAGGGGCTGCCCTGAGCTGCTATCCCTCACCACAGACTCAGGCCCCTTCTCCTTAGGGTCGTCCTTGCAGGGCCAGCAGAGGCCAATACCCCGGGGTCGATGGCTAGAAATAAGAGCTCTCCCTTCAGGTTGAAGAAGGATGTGAGGGAATGAGCAACCCATCATAGGAGGGACCAAACAGGAACCAGAATAGCTTGTTTGACTCTAGGGAAGCACTTTACAGAATGGCACTTATGACCTCTGCCTAGTTAAATCTGATCCAAGCTTTGAACTAAAGCTAAATCCTTCCTGCTCCCCGAAGGGTTCCATCCCACCAGATCAGGGGAAATCTGCCATTCTTCCACAAAGCAGCATGCCCAGCCACGTGGTATGGATCACCTACATCAGTTATGGCAGGATTTGGTTGCTATCTGCCCCTTCTACAGCTTTGGCCCAGCACCTAGAGCAAGGCTGGTCTGCAGCAGGAACTGTGTAAATGCTTCCAGAAGGAAGGGCTCCCACCTTGATCCTTGGTGGTCTCCGGAGTCACATGAGCAGTAAGAGTGCTGCTGCCTCTTACCAGCAATAGGACTTGAAAGAAGTCGGTTTCCCTATCTGTGCCTTAGTTTCCCTAGTTATAAAATGTACATAAGAATGCTGCCCACTTCTGAGGTTTCCTGTAAGAGTCCTTGAGTGAAGAGGGCACGATCCAAGGAACTTAAATAATGCTCACCGTAATCAACATTATATTCATTCTTGGCTGTTTGGGCATGGGGTTTTGATCCTGAGCCAAATTCTTAAGATTTTCTCTTTTAGGGATTGGAAGGTCCTAACCCAGCGTGAACTAAGGTCCTACCTGATGTGATGTACTCTAAATCTTTCTCTCTGAACTTCTCTGTGCCCCTCCAATCACCCTCCTCCTCCTTCTCCCCTTTCCCTTACAACCATGCTAGCTGGGCTAGCCACCACACCCTAGTTGGGGGGAAAACTCCTATTCATCCCTCAAAGCCCATCTCCAATGCTCTTTTCTCCAAGAAGCCCTCCCTCCTCTTTCTCTAGACCCTCCACAACACCCTCCCTCCTTCTGGCCCAATCCTGACCCCAAGGCGCTGGGGATGTTTGTGTCTCACTGACTCCTGCAGCCTCGGGGCACCTCAAGGGCTGAGCTGAGGTGCCCCTTGGGCTTTCCAACCCCCGGAATTAGGTGAGTGTATGGGGACCATAACAGGGGAGAGTTTGATTACTCGATATTGGTGAAAGTGACCCTGACTTAAATTTAGATCCAACTCAACTTCTACCGAAGGCCAAAGTTAATTCATTAAACAAACAGCACCCAGGAAGAAACGGAGCCAGGCACCCTCAGACCCAGGGACAAAGGGGCTCCTGGATGGGGTCAAGCACTGGGTTATCGACTCAAGCTCCCAGGACCACGGAGGGTCGGGGGTGGTGTACTTGCACCCCCTCCTAACTCCAAACCTGGATCTGTGGTCTGGATCCCACAGACCTAATTACCCTCATTGCCACGTGCACTAATTACCTCCCTAATGCCAGGTGGTTGGGCGGGGCTGCTCCACTTTTGGGAGGTAGGTCGGCCCGATTATTTTTGGCTGTGCTGTCCTTGAAGGCTCTGGCATCTGCCTGCTTGAAGGACAGAAAGTGGGGCGGAGAAATTGCAGCCTCTTCAGGAGGGACACTAGGAGACTTGGGTGTTGAGTTGGGCCAGGAGCTCCCTGAGCAGGGGCTTCGGGGCTGAGGCCTGAGGCCTGAGCATCTTTGGAACAGAGCTGAAGGTGGAATGACCTGGAGGGGCTGAGAACCAGCTCCAAGGTAGACTGTTCTGGAGGTCTGTTTTACTTCATTATTTTTTTAAAGAGTGATTGATTGATTGATTGATTGATTGATTTTTAGAGAAGGGAAGGAGAGAGGGAGAGAAACATCAATGTGCAGTTGCATCTCGTGCGCCCCCTACTGGGGACCTAGCTTGCAACCTAGGCATGTGCCCTACACTGAGACTTGAACCGACAATGCTTTGCTTCTCCTGCTGGGCTCAATCCACTGAGCCACACCAACTACGGCTGGAGCTCTATTTTAAATGTGGCACCATTGGTGGAAGAGAGCTAGGGGCAGGAGGCTGGTCAGATGGGCTTGGGTGGGAACAGTGACCAATACTGACTTGCTAAGTATTTCTGGGCATATGACCCCTTCTCTTTGCACCTTTCCTGAGGATTAATCAGGGATAATAACCCACAAGGAATACGCTGGACAGAGGGCACAACATGTGCAAAGGCCCTGAGGTACGGATAGGCTGGGTGCATTAGAGGAACAGTGGGGAGGCCAGGTGGCCAGAACGGAGTGAGTGGCAGGAGAGTAGGGGGTTCTGAGGGCTGAGGGGCCAGCTAGGGCCTCATGGGCCCTGATGAGGTATGTGGGTTTTGTTTCGAGGGTACAGGGGAGCCTTGGGAGAGTTTGGAGCCAGAGAGGGAGGGACATGATCAGGTTTACGCTGCTAAAAGAGGGGTGAGCCAGGTTTACTCCAGGCTGTTTTAGCTCTTTGGAGAGAGCCAGCTATGTGTACATGTACAGAATGGGGGCAGACCCCCCTTTCTCTGAGCCCTTTTCCCCATATTGGACAGTGTCCTGAGGCTCAGACAACCCCAGCACACACTGGACCTTTAGAAGAGAAGTTCCCTTCCCCCAAAACTCCCAAATTCTGGCTGAGCAGCCTACATGGCCTCTCTTTTGCCTGCCCTCTCCTCCTACTCTCCTTCTGTGGCCTTGAAGGAACAGCTGTGGGAACAGAGACCAGGGGGCCTCAGGGAAGGCAGCGAGGAGGGGCTCCAATGTGGGGGGGCTGTGTTCCTGCTTGGTGACAGCCCACATGGGACCGCCCAGTGCCGAATGTTCTTGCAGGAACTGGGTGACTCAGATGTGGCAGCCTCTTCTCTCTATCTGCTAGGAGAAGCCATTTGTCATCTCCAGGCACAGGCTGGAGTCAGGATTTTCTTCTCTGGGCCACCCCCAAAACAGCCCTCCCTCTGCTCCCCAGGAGTCCTTTAACTGGCTGCATTGCTCATTTTCCTGCTCCGACACCCTCCATGGCTCTCCTGAAGGCTTCAGAGGGCAAATCCAGCTCCTCATCACCATTGGCCATGCTTCTGGACCCCACATCTGAGCCTCTGAACTCAGCTCCAACACATCCTCCTCCAGGAAACCTTCCCAGACTCCCTCCACTCCTCCAGCCCTGACCCCATAGGGGTCTCTGTCCGGCTCTGCTTCCACCTCACACTGGGGCTCCTTGTAGTCCAGACATAGACTAAGGCCTCAGGGTC